CAGGCACTGATTTTGTTGTTGATGATGATGACTATTTTGATGGTACTGGTAATTTTGGTAGCTCTGAAGGAGTAGTTTGTTTATGGAGTATGGAAACAGGAAATCACATTCATGATTTATTAACTGGAATAAATACTCTATGGTGATGTATCATTCACATATAATATATTAATTGCAAGTTTATATTCATATGTTTTAATATGAATTCTATATGTAGGGGCCTTAAGTATAATGAAAGGTACTGTATTATGGTCGTCAGCAAAAATTCTGGTGCAAACAGTTTTGAGATTTTTGATTTTTGTGATGAAGATTTTTCCATTAGTAGTACTGCGCCAAAATCAAAGAAAAGAAAAATCAAAAATGCTCAACCAACACACAACTACAATTTGAGAAAAAGGAACAAGTAAATGTTAGTTGGATTTCTAATATTTCTATCTCTTACAAGTTAAGATTGTAGCTGTTCCAATATTCTCTTTTTAATTTTCATGTTTCTTTCTTTTTGTCAATTTGGATCAATATTTATTAATAATTCTATTTCTTAAAAAATTGAAACTGAAAGAATTCTTTATATTTTTTTCTTACAAGGCTATTTTCATTATCAATGAAAAAAATCCAATGTGGTATTTGTTCTTTATCAAACAATTAGCAGTCTTTATTGATCAAAAATTTGATATCCTTTTCCAACTTCTTTTGTTATGCTGATAGAATGAATAATCACTTCTCATTTCTTATTTTCTTTATCATGTTAATGAAACAATTTAAAATAGCATTTGTTAATCTGAATAACAAAGAAATTTAAACACTCAAATATATATAAAAAGCCAGATTTTTTTCTCTTGTAAAATCTGATTGAAATGAAATAATTTCTTAAAAATTTAAATTGATAAATTTATCTTATTATCTTATTTTTGCTTTGCATTCATTTGTGGATATATTTCTTTCTTTTTTTTTTTTTTGAAAATAATTTATTTTCACAAGATGAGGAAATGTGAATGTTGTGGTCTGATATGAAGATGTATTGTTTATTAATAATGAGAGGTATTATTTTTTTTTTGGATTTGTATTATATCTATTTTATTGTTTATAAATGTATCTTTTATTATTTGTATAAATATATTTTGTTGAAAACAAATGGAGAAAGAAGAGAAACATTTTGATATTTAATGTTTGATTATTGGAAATTTTCAAACATTGAAACACACACACTGTCTTGAACACTTACAGTCATCCTCATGTACACAAGGCTAGCCTAACTAGTGTGCCTTGATGATAGATTCGAATTTATATATAGGGCAATTCTATATCACTTAAGATAACAAACAGAAGATTTTAATAATCACATTACTAAATTTTGATCCCTGAAATCTTTGATAATACTAATACCAATGTTCACTTTGTCTTGTTTTCTTGCAGCATGCCCCATTTATGAAAATTAAATAAAAATAGAAAGAACCTGTTAATCGTTTTCACAGCTGTATTTTATGGTTTTTTGATCCACCATTAATGAAAGGTGTTTTTTTTCATTTAAAATAAAATGCAAAATTTTATTTGTTAAAAAACAACACTAGCAATTATAATAGAATAGAGTTATCTTTCTAAACTCTAACCTCTTTTCTAAATTACTTTCGAAACTAACCCAAAACTCCTAAACTATTTTCGAACTCCAGATATTTTCAGCATAATGGACACTCATTTTGTGCAACAGTCATTTGTATAATAGTCAGGCGGTTACACAGAGCCCGTTGCTTCTG